TTCAGTGGTGGCGCCAGAGGGGGGGCAGGGGGGGCTACAGCCCCCCCGTCGGAGGAGGCTAGCCCCTCCGTCGGAAGATAAATTATGCTTGAATTTTTTTTGTCGGAGCGAATTTTTTAAGTTTTGGCGGAAATAGAAATTTCTAAAAGGACTGTTATCAGAATTCAGGAAGCTCATCCCAAAACAACTCATCGACACATCAATTTCATGGTAAATAATAATCTGTTATAAGAAGTTTGAATTGGTTGTTTAGATGTTCAGTACCAGGTGTTTTCCGCATGCTGTTAAATTTGATCTTATGTTATGGATAGTGCAGTTCGTCCAAATCTTGCTTGCTATAACCAACCTACAACATCGGAATATTTTTGTGCGATAGCGATATGGCAACAAATGTTACCCGTTTCAGTGTTAGATGTAGTATATGTAATGACGTATTTAACAATGATTACGCTGCCCGCCACACGAAGTCCAAGCACAAAGATTTGGCTGCAATGGGAAGGACTGCTCCTACGACGGCAATAGTTGAAACGGACTCGCAGCAGAGAAAAATAAAAACATTTTTTCAATCAAAAGGCGGTACTTTTCCAAAGAAACGAAAGGTTAATGATTTTGAAACTGAAAGAACAACAGAAGACCCCGAAGAACAAGAAGTTGAAATTTCGAAAATTCAAGACGAAGAGCAAATCGAACGTGGTATGTTATACGTTTTAATATTTAAGTCCTTTTAATACGAGGAAAAACACTTAGCAAAGGGCTTCAGCCATAAAAACAATCAAACTCATTTACGTAGTAGCTAAGCCATTTTACCCCATCCCAACCATACATATTTGTAGTGTTTTGCTTCTACGTACACGTTTTTTTATTTATAAGAAACTTGACTCAAGCCCAGAGTACTAATAGTTTCCAAATTTCTTATTTTTTACTATTTTTAAGGGAAACCATCTATTACTATTTACGATAAATCCTTCTAGTTTTTTTTATAAACAAGTTCCTTATTAAGAAAAAAACGTGTATTTTTATAGGAAACCTAGCTCTCCAGAAATTAAAAGTTTCTTATTTTCGGACCTATATAATATGGGATTTCACTGCGACTGCGACATATTTAAACAAATATACCTGGCTATGACTGGATGAGGAATAAACCTTGTTAGACGTATAAATTTCTTCGTTTTATTTACAAATAAAAATAATTTTTTGGATGATTTTGATATTAAGAGTCACAAAAGATTGATTAGTAAAAATGCCTTTTTGTCCATCTCCCAGGAGATATTATAATCTTTTTCACACATGTAAAACAGGGTAGTAAATCATTTGTTTAAACTTCCAGGTACAACTTCTAGCTTGGACCCCGAAGTCACGAATGTAGATGCTGACAACTACGTCACCATTTCGGAAGCCGAACAGTCGATGTCGGACATTGTGGAAGCAGCAAATGAAAGCGACAGCAACGAGGATATCGAGGAAAATTTGGAACAGTTGGAACTCGAGTTGGAAGATGAAGTTGATCCTGCAGGATTATCAGCCGAAGGTATACTAACTAGCTATCAGATATAATCGTAACTCTCCATTAACCAGCGGCGTAGGGGGGTACTAAAAAGTGGAAGGGCGCGTGAAAAAAGGGCACCTTGGTATGTAATTAAGACGAAGGCAAACCCTGCTAGAAGGGCACGGGGGCATGCTCGCCCGGAAAAGTTTTGCATATAAGCAGCCACTTTGGCTCCCATAGCCTCTTTCGCACTAAAGCTCAAAGAAAAGTCTAAAACAATGAAAAGAGGCACTTCTCAGATATAAAATAGGGCACTGCCAAGAACTTAACAGGAAAAAAGTTTGCAAAGTGTGATGGATAATTTTTTTCGTTTTAGCACTTCAAGGAGATTCGAGAGGACCGCAACTTACACTATCCGTCGCTGGCCCCAAGGACATATCCTCAACCAAAGACGGCGGACCTGTGCAGCCTCGTAATATTTCCTTCCCTACACATTTGATTGGCAATCAGCATCGCGCATTCACACCTTTGCTGTATGAAAAGTATCCCTGGATTGAGTATTCGCAAATGGAGGATGCCATCTTCTGTTTCCACTGTCGTAATTTTTCAGAGAATCGGAAGGATCCAGCGTTTGTTAGTCAAGGCTTGCGCAATTGGAAAAGATGCTATGGCACCAAAGTGAATGATAACAAACTCTTGCAACATCAAACCAGCCATCTTCATGCCCAAAGTGTAGCTGCTAAAGCGCACTATGAAAACGTTAAGTCTGGAAATTTTCAGACCATTGCCACACTTCATGATGCCGCTTATTCGAAACTGGTTAAAGACAACAGGCATTACATGCGAGTGATTTGCGAAGTCCTGCTTCTCACTGCTCAGCGGAAGATTGCCCAACGTGAGACTGGAGGTTCATTTCGTGTTGCCGATATAAATAAAGAAGCTCTAGACTATGGACCTTCTTGTGGTAATTTTCTTGCGATACTTGGTCTTCTTGCAAGGCATGACCCAGTTGTTGCTGACAAAATCCGCACTGGCCCGAAAAATGCAAAGTATACTCACCACAGCGTACAGAATGCCATCTTAGACATTATGAAAGACATGGTTCTTGAGCAAATAAAAAGTGAGCTCAATAAGGCTCAGTATTTTACCGTCCTTTCAGATGAGTCTAAAGATAGAAGCAAAAAAGAGCAGCTTGTTGTTGCAGTCCGTTACTGCTACGAGAATGCCATACATGAGGAATTTATTGGCATTGCTGAGGCGCAAAGTTTAGATGCAGATGGTCTTTCAGACACAATAATTGAACGATTGCAACGCATCGAAGCCAACATGAAAGCATGCGTGGGGCAAGGCTACGATGGAGCTTCTGTTGTTTCTGGTCACCTGAATGGCGTTCAAAGGAAACTTCCTCTGAAAACCGGTGCTGAAATGGCTTACTACGTCCATTGCTTTTGTCATCGATTGAACCTTGTGATCGTCGATGTTGTGAAATCAATCAGTTGTGTGGCAGACATGATATCGCTATTCAGAAGCCTGCATTCTTTTCTGAGCAGCAGCACCGTTCATGTACGATGGGTAAAGGTCCAAGAGGATCACAAGGTTCATGTGATGGAAATTGGAAAAGTTTCTGACACGAGATGGTCTTGCCAGGCGAAGCAATTCAATGTTTTCTGGGAGCGGTTGGATATCTTGGTGGAAGTCCTGCAGGATGTGATTGACACAGATACGAACCCCGGTCGCAGAACAGAAGCTACTGGTTATCTTCTGCAGATTGACAGGAAATTTGTGAGATACCTGTTTGCCATCCGACACGTCTTGAACAAAGCCAAATTTGCGTCTGACATGTTGCAGAAACCCTCCAATGATTTGAGTCAAGCCATTGATCTCATTGCAACATTGAAAGATGAACTGGATGACTGTCAAAGCAGGGATAAGATTCAAGAGTTCTGGGATACTGCCGAAGAAGCAGCGGATCGCTTGGAATTGCCGGAAGAAAAAAGACCACCAAGAAAGAGGGCAACGCCTGCTTCTCTTCGAGAGTTTGTTGTGGAAGCATCTTCAGAGCCTCAAGTAGCAAGCGGGTTTGATGGCTACGTACAAAATGTCAAAGAAATACTAAACAGAACAACTGCAGAACTTTGCAAGCGGTTTGACGAAAAAAACATAAAGATCATGAAAGGCATAACTGCATTGGCCCCCAAGTCGAAAAGCTACTTGGACCCAACAACTCTTGTCAATTTTGCTGAGCTTTTTCAGTCTGAAATTGGTGCACTACGCAGTGAAATTGCCACATTTAAATATATGCTCTCAAGAAAAGAAGAAAAACACCGCCCAAGCACACTTCTGCAACTAGAGGCACACTTGGAAAAGCTAAATGAAGCTTTCTTTGAGCTGCACCGGCTTGTATCCATCGCATGCACTTTGCCAGTCTCTTCAGCCGAATGTGAACGCAGCTTCAGCTCTATGCGCCTCATCAAGAGTGATCTGCGCTCACTTATGAAGGACGAGCGTCTAGACAGTCTGATGATGCTAGGTATTCATCGTGCCCGTGGAAGTGCTCTTGACTTGGACTCAGTAGTAGACAGATTTAAGGCTAAGTTCCCGAAGAGTAGAATTGCTCTGTGAAACAATTTTGATTCTTGGACTTGAATTTTCGATATGTAGAAGTGCGTATTCCACCGCTTAGGTCTGTTCCTATAAAGTTACGTTGTGTTCCAGTTTTCCTTAAGTTCAGTTGGTTGCTTTTTATTTAAATTCATACTTTCCAAAGATAGGCCCTACTTGAATTGGCAACGTTTGATGAGTTGTAAAGATTTAGAGTAGTTTTAAGCTTATCTAGAGGCAGCTTTCAAAAAAAATTTCCAGGGACGCCGGAGAAGGGGGGCGCGGGGGGGCAAGCGCCCCTCCTGCCCTTTGCTAGGAGGGGCAAGGGAGGGGGCAAACGTGCCCTTAGTAATATGTCAAAAAACGTAGTAAAAAACACGATTACACCATTTTGATAGCATTTTTAGCCAATCTAATGGGTGTAGCCACCAAAATTTTCCCGGGGGAGTACCCCCGGACCCCCCGAATTTTCGGCTCGCAACGCTCGCCTTCGGCCTCCAGTACCCTTACAATTCCTTGTCGCCCCCTAGCCCTATCGTTCTCTAAAAAAATTAGCCCCTCCGTCGGAAGTGCTAGCCCCTTTGTCGGAGGAAACCTAGCGCCACCACTGTTCCCTTTTCATAAAAGCCTAAGTTACAAATAGTTCAACTAACATTGAAAAATCCTTAAGTTTCTAATTGAAAATGATGTCAATTTGATTTATTGACAGGGCAATTCACTACCAGTGGAGCTATGTGTGATTGATAATGGAAGGCTTTTTTTATAATAATAAATTATATAGTGTCATGTATGTTTGCTCTATGGTTATGTTAAGATAGTAAAGTCGGTTTGATTTTAATCATTATGTTTCGAATCAATGGTTTGCTTCAAGCGTTTTGCTTCCTATCAAAGATCCCCGGTTGTGGAGGTACCTAAAGTAAATAATGGGTATGTGCGAGCCCAGGTTTTGGCTGTTATTTCAATATTTCTCTCCAGTTTTTGGTTTGGTGAATTAAGAATGATGTCCTGTTTTGGGTACTATTTTTGCCGTGAATCATCGAGTTTTGGGGTAAAGTTTTGTTTGCATCTTTGCACATACCTGTCCTTACCTTCAGGTACCTCCACCCTCGGGCAAAGAATGCAAGTCCAATTGACAATCATATAAAGTAGGAGACAAGTTTCCCAGTCGAATATTTGAATATGTCTAACTTAGATTTTCAATGATTTTCTTGCCTGTTTTCGCCAAGGAAGATCATCCAAGCCATAGTCGTACCGAAGTTCTTCCCCCTGCGTAATAGTTCTTGTGGCAAACAAGCAAAGATGGGGAACTTGGCCAACCATAACTTTCTGCATCTTGCAGTTTCCCAGCTTGCTATCGTTCACCAATCTTCCAAGACGACCAGAGGGCTCTGTAGCATCAACACTGGAAAAAAATGGTTAGCTTAACACTATCAATACTAATAGGTGCAATTTGCTATCATAAAAAGGACGTAGCCAGGTTGGAGCTGGGAGGAACCACGTTCAGCAATTGAAAAATCTTTAAAACGAGATCTGCAGCATTTCTCAATTTTTTGCCGATGCAAGTTGCTATTGTCTCCACTGTCGTTTACAAATGATGAAAGTTTGCTACCACTACTGAAATGATGATATAATGGCATATACGAAGAGCATGCTTCAATATGTTTTCGGACTGAAAATTAATAGACAGAAGTACATCCTTTGTATTGCCAATGTTTGTTATCTGTAAAATCATAAGCCTAACCTCAAGGTTGGGTTTTATTATTTATGAAAAAAGTGAAATATATATTCCCAAGAATTTCAGATGTCCCTTATAGCAAGTGTTTGTGTCCAGCAGGTTTCTACCTTTATTTTACTCTAACATCTAATATTAATACATTTAAAATTTCTGTGAGAATGCTTGATTCCTTCAGGAGCTTCACACTTTCATTAGAGGAAAAGCTATGGGGTCGTACCAAAACAGATTTTGTGATTCTTAATTGCATGTTGCCGTTAAGATTTTGACCCACCTCCCCTCTAGCTCTTAGCGGCCATCCAAGTTTCTTAAAGAACAGTTTCTTATAGAAATCATGCAACGCACATAAGTCGGGGAAAAGTGGATATTTGTTACCCATCTGTGCCGATCGTCCCAATAACCAAGAAGAAGTAATGCAAATTCTGTATGCTTATCTGTTCATTTCAAAAGGGAGGGTTTTTAGATCTAGTCGTATCTCATTGTTTTATAACAATGTTCAATGAGAAGTGATGTCCAAATTTAAGAGTATCTCTGTATTCTCTTTATTCATGAAAAATTAGAATAGAATCTTTGACTGTTTCTGTCCACCTGTAGTAGGATTAATTCTATGTTTAACACACTATCATTTTTCTTGCACATGCGCACTGTAAATAGTATAAAAAGTCTTGTTATTGTAATTAAGGGGAGTTGTTGAGTCGGTTTTGAATAATAATCTTGTAATGGTTTTTGTGTGTTAATGATCTGGTGAAAATGAAAAAGTCGAGTTTCCCTTAGTGTGAAACTGAATGAAACATAAAGCTCTACCACATGATCCCTTCCCCCCCCCACCCTTTAACTGTCAAAAGGCGTTAAGAATTGTAAAGGCTGTTTTGGGACGACATCTAACTGAACAACTAATATTTCGGCCTACCATAATTCCAATAAATAGTGAAATAGGCCAATGTCCTCGCAAAGTGTGTATTTATTGCCTATTATAATAAATAGATAAGAAAGGCTGATGTCCCCACAAAATGTGTATTTTCTTTTGACTGAAAAAGTAGATGTTGAAGGCCAATTTTCCCATTAAGTGCCTTGAAAGTTCGGAAAGTTCGAAATATTGATGTTTTCTTCCAGAAAACCTTTATCGTAACCTGAAGATCTGTCAATATCTCGTGTCGTCTGGTAAATAACTTTGCTCTTGTATAGAGGGTCCACGGACTCCGTGATCTTCTCCAAAACGTCTCTAAATTTAGCTCTTCGGGCTTAAAACCTACCAGAGCAACATCTTTAGACCACCAACGGGTCTCCCAAGTCTGTAGAATTCTCCATTTGCATTTTGTGCTTACCCCCACCAAAACACCCAATCTCTTACCCTTTGTCCAATCAAGTCCAGACAATTTTGATGAAGATATCTGTCTAGAACACCTTGCCCCTTTTAAAAGAAAGGCATCCGAGTTAAGAAAGGGAATGACAGAACGGATATTTTGAATTTTATATTCCCTCGTAGAAACTTTTTTTAGAAAATTAAGGGCAAGGGTGGATGGGCCTGGGATACGATACATTCCGTGCCAGTCCGCCACTGATACTGACCTTGCCTGTCTGACCTGCACTGCTGAGAATTCTTTTTCAGGTCTAAAAGCTGGGTTATACGATCACTTTTTACCATCACTTTGTTCGATATTGGACCAACATGCTAAAATGTGATCGTGTAACATACTAAAATTGTCAATTTTCTCTGCAGAATTTAATGCGCCAGGTGCAGAATAAAATCGAGTTCATCACTTTTTTTCAAAGGCGCCGACAAATTCTTACGTCACATAATGTTTTGATGAGAAGGAAACGGCCTAGAGTTTCGAGAAAAGAAGAAAAAGACGTGTATTGTACTCAGAAACATAATTATTAGCATAAAACGAATAGGAATAATGATTTTGAGTAGATCGAAGAGCAGCACCTTGCAGAAAAATAAATGCAGTTTAATAAAATGCACTCATTGTTTATAAGAAACCCACTATAAGAAACCATTACTTGAAAATGAGAGGCATATCACTGAAAATATCTCGTTTGTGATAAAATCACAAAAAGTCTCAAATAAATCAGTAAAATCACGCAAAAACTCGCAAAAATCACTCGAAATCACACAAAATCACAGAAATATTGAGATGGATCACAAAAAATCTCTTACACTTTTTCAGGAGTAATATGCCCCTCGCCTTTTGTCTATAAATTCCAAAGTTTCAGTTGTTTTTTCAAGACATGCTTTGCCAAAACAAATGAACAAGTTGTTTCTTATTCAGAATATTGAGTGGGAACTGTTTAAATTTAGAATGAAGTTTCCAATAGAGATACTACAATATCGCTACAGAAGATTTAAGATAATTAAAAAAATTGAAACTAATTGTAAAAATATAATTGCCAAAAAAAATGTTCCAGTCATGTACAGCAGTTCTTTCAATCTGTAAAAGAAGTAAATTTTTATCAAATTTTCTGCGCAGGAAGCAAGATACAATACAAAATGAGGCAATTCATGCTTAGGTGGAAGATGCACGAGAGAAAGG